AATGGCAGAAAGTGAAGAGGAACTAAAGAGCCTCTTGATGCGGGTGAAGAAGGAGAGTGCAAAAGTAGGCTTGAAACTCAACATTAAGAAAACCAAAATCATGGCATCGGCCCTCTCAATTCCTGGCAAATAGATGGGGAAGAAATGGAGGTAGTGACAGATTTTATTTTTCTGGGCTCAAAGATCACCTCAGATGGGGACTGCAGCCAAGAAATTAAAAGACGCTTGCTCCTGGGGAGGAAAGCTATGGCAAATCTAGACAGCATACTAAAAAGTAGAGACATCACCCTGTCAACAAAAGTACGTATAGTCCAGGCCATGGTTTTCTCAGTTGCAATGTATGGCTGTGAAAGTTGGACCATAAGAAAGGCTGAGCGCAAAAGAATTGAGGCCTTTGAACTATGGTACTGGAGAAGACTCCTGCGAGTCCCTTGGACTGCAAGGCGTTCAAACCGATCAGTCCTAGAAGAGATCAACCCCAACTGCTCTTTAGAAGGCCAGATCCTGAAGTTGAAACTCAAATACTTTGGCCACCTAATGAGAAGGAAAGACTCACTGGAGAAGGGCATAATGCTGGGAAAGATTGAGGGCAAAAGAAGAAGGGGACGACAGAGAATGAGATGGCTGGATGGAGTCACTGAAGCAGTAGGTGTGAACTTAAATGGACTCCAGAAGATGGTAGAGGACAGGAAGACCTGGAGGAACGTTGTCCATGGGGTCGCGATGGGTCGGACACGACTTCGCAATTAACAACAACAACAACATAACATAAGTTAGCATTTGCAACTATTTGTGTCTTCGTGTATATAGACAAAACAATTGCATCAGATCAAGAAAACATAGCATGGCAGTCGTGATACCATTAAAAAAAATGTGTAATTCCAAATCAAGACAACTTTCTCTTCAGCCTCCTATATTTGCATATGTAGCGATCCATTTCAGATTGAACCATCAAACACTAGGAGGCTAATTTGGTTTGCAAAATGTTATAATCAACTACACCAAATGCACTGCAAGATTCTTAAGGACTGCAGGAGGCACCCAATTTCCCCCCCCCCTGTAAAAATATGTTAATACTTTTTAAATGGAATTTTATTTTTACATCTTTGCAGAGAAATCTCTAAAAGTCTGCTTGTGGAGGACATTACAGAGATTGTAAGACCTCAGCTAGATCTGGGTTTTACATAGCCTGGTGTCTCACTTTTTGTTTTAAATTAAATTGCCTTGAGGCTCAACCTCATATCTCTACTAACCAGGGCACAAAAAATGACTTGTCCTCATGATGCAAATTTTATTTCCTCCTTTAGTCCACTAGGTAGAGTAAGTTAGAAAATCAATTCCACAAAATATTACAACTACATTTTATTGAGATTGTCTATGAAAACAGAATCCTGCAAGTCAGACTGTGTTACATCTCCCCTCCTTATACCTCTGTGAATCAAGGCGACATCTGCCTGAGTTGCTTCTGAATGCTATTTGGCTTCCTAGGACTTAGGAAACCTTTTTGTCTTCTTTCCTAGGCAACATATATTATATATTTCTGTCAAAGTCCTCCTTCCCATTAGCCTCTCACCTACTGAGCCCAGAGAAGAGCTGTTATAGTCATTTTTCACTTTTTTAGTTTTAATCTATGCTTTCTTTTTCTCCCAAGAGTGTTCTTACCATGCAAACATTCTAGGACACCTCACTGATTAAGTTGCCAGTTATGAAATCAGGGACTATGACTCCTATTGGTCATTTAAGATTGCTGCGGGCACATCTCTTATCCTCTCACTGGACACAGAGATATTCTGGCTTGGACACAGGAGAAGCTAAGTGCGCTCTCTCTCTCTCTCTCTCTCTCTCTCTCTCTCTCTCTCTCTCTCTCTCTCTCTCTTTCTCTCTCTCTCTCTCCCTCCCTCCCTCTCTCCTTTATAATTATTATTAATAGTATGTATGTATGTATGTATGTATGTATGTATGTATGTATGTATGTAGAAAGTTTTTCAGACAGACTGGTCTGATTGATTACACCTTGGCATTTTAATTGGTATACTGCAGTTCTACTTTTTACAATCTCTTTTGCCTTGCAGCCCTGCAACTAGGGGCATTAAGCAGGCTCAAGTCCCTACTGCGAAATATTTACAAATCCAGATTTCTTTTTTTCTTGACAAAGAGTTAAAGAATTAAGTTGGGAGACTAATATGGCCATTTCAAGCTCATTCTGCTCTCATCAGTTAGCCACACCCTTTATGGGATTCGAACCTGGGCAGTTTATATACTAGGCAGTGATTTAACCACCAAGCCAGAGGCACTTCTCCCCTCTCTGTATATATATATTCAGTTGTGTTAGCCGACATCTGCCTCAACCTCACCACCCTGCTTCCCCCACCTTCTCCGCTTGCTGGACATGCCTGTCATGTAACAACCGGCTATCTAATATTATCACCCAATCACTCCCCCCACTGTCATGGTTCGACGTGCTGTCAGTATGTCGTGCAGTTGTCCTGGTTGGCAATCCCCTCCCTGGCTGCAGCTGCTGTGCCGACCATGCCAATCAGCAGGTTGAGACGGATGTCGGCTAACACAACTGAATTAGGAATCATAGGCGGGTGATGGGTGGACGGAACAGTAACGTGCTCAGTGGCCAAATTACGGACATCTGAAGAGCTATAAAGACGAGGGCTTCCCAATATCAGCTTACACTTTGATAATATTAGCAGTTGCTAATGAAAGCTTAGTATTTTAATAAAACTTTTTATCCTGGAGATCAGTGTTTTATTATGCCTTGTTTACAAATGAATATACCTGGGACTCGAATTTTTAGAATTGTTGCATAGACATTGGCCTCTTCACTTAATATAACAAAACCACAGTTACTGATACTGCCAATAATTCTACAAATTAGGGTTCTGGTAAACAAATGAAAGTTGGCAATGGAAAGGGGAAATGCTTCATTTGCAGCATCACTGAGTAAATTGCAGAAGGTTTTTTTTTCCCCTGTCCACTAGTGAGCTCATTTATATTGTTGCTATTTAAACAACATCGTATCTCCTGGCACATCTGCCTGCTGTCTGGTAATAAAGGTTCATGTAAATGTGTATATAAGGGCATAACATGATCTTTAAAAGCAGAAGGAACAAGTTTATTGAAATGTTATCCAGACATAAAGTGAATGTGATCTAAAGGCTTTTCCTGTAATCCTTGTTCAGTATCCTCTTCAGTTCCTCCAGAACAATTTTAAAGCTTACAGGTGTAAAGCTATGCTTTTATAATAGTTTGGCATTTTGTGTGTCTTTGCGTGTGCACACACATGTGTGTGCGTGCAGAGTAGTAATGGTAGTGGGGAATCTGATGTACACTTCTACTTTTTTTAAAAAAATAAAACATGGTGGATGAGTGATCTGTTGTGTAATTTAAGGAAATTTTCCGCCTTCAAAATAACTCAGTCACATAGTTTGAAGTAAAAAGGACTCCTTGTTGGCACACTGAGGTTTGATCTCAGGGGGAAGGAAGTATGCTTTTAACAAAGCTTTTACACTGAGGTAATTAAGAAGAAGCCTGCCTTTTAAATGCTAAAATTATATTATAACAGAGCAGAACTTTATGACATCCTTGTGATGATGTCATTGTCATTATTTTAAAAAGGCCTAAGTCATTCACACGTTCAGCAATCAAAGTGCGAGTTGAGGAATATTTACTGTTTCTCAAGGATAAAACTTTTCTGGGTTGAGTGCAAGGAAATTCTGAAAAAAATTACAACAAGCTTGCTAATTGAATAGCTGAGATCTATATCTGATTCTATTCATTCAATTTAAAGAATTCCCCCTAGGATGCAGATACTTTGGCCAAGATCCTCCCTGACCAAAAGCACTAGAAAATTTTCTTTAAAAAATATTTATGGACCGATCTCAATATATTTACATATTAAATATTGTAAGAGAATATGAGAACTAAGGATAGATGCAATGAACATAAAGTCAATGAGCAACCTAAACCAATCTAAAGAAAAGTAATTTACAACCATGTCCTTCTTTGCAAATAATGATTCAAAAAATCAGTTTCCATGCAACTTTGCTACTGAAGGAAAGCACCTGATGTATTTGCAGTCTCTGCTAATTTTATATATAGTTAAAATGGGTAATGATTCAGTGAATTTGACCTTTCATTCTCCTAAATGGTAGATATTTGCAATTACTTTCCAGTCATAGTATTTATTCTAGAAAGCATATAAACTACTTTTCAGTTTTAAAATATTCCCAAAATGGCAAGCAGCCATAGGATGCAACATAGCTGAGCATGAAGAAAAGCCAAACAGGAACAATTTAATTGCATTGCTGCAGAGTTAGGCTAAGTAAACAAATGGCTTCTTAATGGACTTGAGTCAATGAAATGATCACAGTTTTAACTGCCAGCTTCAGTGCTTAACTTTCCATGACTTAGTCCTAAGGCTGTTAAGGCCATAATACAGCATACATTTACCCCAGGAAATATAACAATAAAGATGAATAAGAATGTACTGCATAGTCAGAGCCTCAAGACTTCTGAAGTGTGTGTGTATACTATGGGGAAGAGAGAAGATCACTTTGGATAAACTTGGAAAATATATAATTCTCATTCAACTGGCAGTGTATGGGAGAGACTCAGTCTAGCATAGTAGTTAAGGTTCTGAATCAGGAGTAGGAAACCCAGAATCCACTCTTTCTTTAACCATGGAAACCAGCTAAGAATGACTACTTTAAGCTTACCTATTCTTATTTATTTATTTATTTATTTTATGAGACTTATATACCGCTTTAAGTGCAAGCACTCTCTAAGCGGTGTACACCAGTAAGCAATGTATATATATATTTACATGGCCCCCAACAATCTGGGTCCTCATTTTACCTACCTCGGAAGGATGGAAGGCTGAGTCAACCTTGAGCCGGTGAGATTTGAACCGCTGACCTGCTGAACACAGTCAGCTAAAGTGGCCTGCAGTACTGCACTCTAACTGCTGCGCCACCTCAGCTCATTGCCCTTTTAGCATGGGTCTTTTCACTTTCACTTATCTTTTTTGTTATGGAAGGCAAACCCAGTTCTTCTAAGATTTGTATTGCTGGTCAACAATCTTTTTAATCTATTTTATTGCTGTTGACACTAAAGGCAGCCATGTGTACATAGATCCATTTAAGAACAATAATACTACTGAAGGACCTTGAAGATCTGGGTAGGTTGTCTGGAGTCCCAATGAGTTTCGTTGATATATGTTTTTAAGAGACTGGACAGCCATTTGTCTGAAATGGTATAGGTTTCCTGCCTGAGCAGGGGGTTGGACAAGATGACCTCCAAGGTACCTTCCAACTTGATGATGATGATGATGATGATGATGATGATGTACCTTGTGTTGTTGGTTGGATTGGTCATCTTGTTATCTATCTTGTTCCTATCCGATCTATTTTTGTTGGCTCTTATTAAAATTGTATTATGTTGTATTCTCTTTCTCACATAGTGAGCTGCCCAGAGTCATTCTGGATTTGAAGGTAGCCTAAATAAAAATAATAATAATTTAATTTAACTATTAAATTAAAGTATAGTAAATTACTAAATTAAAATAAATTAAATTGCAGTAATCACCACGGTATAATTCCATGGACTTAATACATAGTAAAGTTCTTGAACTCTATTGAATGTACCTCTAAGTCAGTGGTTCTCAACCTTTTTAATGCTGCGACCCCAACCGGTCGTAGGTCGAGGACTACCCAACCAGTCGTAAGTCGAGGACTACCCAACCGGTCGTAAGTCGAGGACTACCCAACTAGTCATAAGTCGAGGACTTTCCCTGCCCAGGAGCGCCATGCATGCATGGTGCTGCCTCCTGCGCCGGCCAAGACGTAACTGGCAAGGGGCAGCAATGGCGCAGGGCGACCACTGGCTGGGCCACCAGCTGGCCCAGCCCAAGGGAGGTAAGGCACCTGCCGGGCCCCACGCATACCAGCAACCCTCCCTGCACCCGCCGGCCTCCCACCTCCCACCCCTGGCCCTCTTTTACTTACATTTTTAGTAGTTGCTCAGCAGGGAGGGGTGGAAGCTTCCAGACAGCTCGCCTTCGCTGCAGACAACTTGCAGCACCGTTTGCAGAATGGGGATTTTGGGCTCAGCAGGGCAGAGACACCCTGGACAATTCCTATTGGCTTTTGAAAGCCAATAGAATAAAAGGGAGTAGCACAGCTAAGGAAAAGGGGGAAAAATGGTGGACTGCATTGTTTGGCAACCCTCGTGAAATTGTCGTTCGACCCCAAATGGGGTCGCGACCCACAGGTTGAGAACCACTGCTCTAAGTCAACATGAGCCTATGGTTTATGATGATGATATCAGAAGCAAAGCCATCTGATAGCTTCTTTACGTGAATATGCACGGGAAGCACTTAGAATCAACTTGGGATTATGTGCACTCTCTCCCTTTAAGTGCAAAACCTAAATAAAGTATGTGAGAGGCAAGTGAAAGTTGTTCTTTCTGGAGTATTTATTAATTAAAGTAGTTTGGCTATGCTTATTGCTCCGTGGAGAACCCTTAATATACATTTCCTTAATATAATCTAAATTAAAATAATTTAAACAATTATTCTATCAAAATAGATCTTTACTAACACAATCTCCATAAAACTTGTATCTTTTAGGGGTTTTTCTCTTCCGTTATTTTTCTTCTGTTATTAACTCAATAGCTAGTGGCAGCAGGATTTAAAGAGCAATTGGTTGAAGCTTTATATCAATCTATCTTTCTAAAGGAGACCATACCACTAGCAGCTTCATTTTTAAGCAGTGGTGCTTGGCTGGCATCTTTAATTAACACAGTTAAGCACCTTCTACACAAGTTTGTGCCTGCAGGATAGAATTAAGAGGAATAAAAAACAAGACTGACAGATACATTAAGACCTGCTTCCAACATGTTGCATTGGAGGAAGAGCAATGATTATATCTGTTGTGACAGTTTTTAGAATTTTTTTCAAATCATTGGTAAAAAAAAAAAAAAGACATTTGCACTAAGTTTTCCAGAAGAAACTGATTCTTCAAAAGCCATCTCCTACACACTTTGCAGTACTGTTCCTACTCTGGGTTTTATTTTCCTCGTCTTATACAGTACCAAGAATCATGAGATTTTAGTGGGATTATAAATTTAGTCAATCAAGCAATGGAGAGGGGATGGAGGTAAGACACTCACCTCACACTCAGAAGGTTGAGAGTTCAATCCTTGGTAGCGACAGATGTTTCTCTATTAGGGCACGAAGAGAAAATTTCTGCTGCAAACTCTGCATAGGTGTCAGGAAGGGCATCCAGCCAGTAAACACTCAGCTCCATTTAGTTGCTCCAACTCCATCCCAATAAAAGGGATTACTGGGTCATTAAAATAAATAAATATAGTCAATCAATTGATCAATACATAGAAAACACATGTTATATTAACAACTATTGTTTAAGCCTGGGAGCGCACATGTAATCTTACCATACACTTACTAAATTGTTTCTCTTGAATATTTTCCACAACCCCCATTTGTCTATCCATCAAAAGAGACAACTGCCTTTTAATAGAACTAATAGAAAATTAGTTTCATAGAAATAAAACTGCAAAAAAGCCCCTACTTCCTATTTAAATTAGTTTTGGGTTATTGCTTTCAGCAGACCTTGTGTTCAGCCAGGATCATGAAACTTGTTTTCTTTTCCCTTTTCATGAGCAGAACGACATTTGGAGTCTCAGTGTTGTTTTTCTTCCCAAAGAAGGAGACCGAGGCACCACAAGGAGAAATTGTGTTTTTCCCCTCCCAAAAATAAGCAATTTCTATGAATAATGTCATAAAAGAAAAGATATATTCTCCAATTGTGCATCTAACTTAAATTGAGTGCTAATAAGGAATTGCCAGCATAAAACACAGCAATCTACTGAAGAGTTGAAAAAGGTGAATGTTAGAAATGAGGCGCACTGAACAGATGCAAACTATTAAAGAAAAGCTGTGATAATCTTTCCAGTATTTTCAACTGAGCTAATGTGGCTCACTTTGATAAAAAGCTAGAAAAACAAGACTTGAGGGACAGAGAACTGGAAAAAGCCTTGAGAGAGAGAAAAAAGGAGCAAAAGCTGGAAAGACCATGCAACTGATCCTAGCCATGCAGATTATAGTCATCTATGTATAGAAAATAGTAATTCATTTCTAATAATATGAAGGGAGGGATGAAAAAGTAGGATACTTTTGACTGATAGTGGAATAGCTACAAAAGTTTCATTATCTAGGTTTGTGTGCTACTCTATGACAGTAAAGATTTAATCTGGTACCTAGGTTTGCTTGATGATAAAAGTTACACAGCATTGTAAATATTTAGATAACAGACCATCTGGAAAGTCCAAAACAATAGCAATTATAGAAAAAAGTAGTGTTTTTGAAAAACACATTGGCAAATAGCAATAGAACTTAGACTTAAATACTACTTCATAGTGCTTTACAGTCTTCTCTAAGTGGTTTACAGAGTCAGCATATTTTCCTCAACAATCTGGGTCCTCAGATTACCAACCTCAGAAGGATAGAAGGCTAAGTCAACCTTGAGCCAGTGAGAATCAAACTGCTGACAACTGGCAGAATTAGCCTGTAATACTACATTCTAGCCATTGCGCCACTGTTAAATCACTGCCATACTTGCCCAAGAAACTTTGTGTCCCATCTAGATAACTTTGGCTGATGTAGAAATTATAAAATTATAATAAATTTGTTGCTTATTAATTGGAGTGATGCTTGTTAAAATGGTTATTTGAGACTTTTAACTTTTATCTTTTAACTTAGAAAGTTTATTCTGAAAGATAGTCCAGCAATCCAGAAACAGAAGACAAGATAATCCAAGTGTCTATGGAGATTCTCAATCATCCAGGTCATGGTTGTCCCAAAGGTAACTGGACTTTCTTGGTGTTTTCTTTGAAAACATTTTGCTTCTTATCCAAGAAGATTCTTCAGTTCTAACTGACTGGTGGGGAATGAAAGGATTTATACATAAATAAAATATAATATCCACACTAGAAGAATGGATGATAAAGCTGGTGGAATTGGTGCAGTTGGTGAATTTGACAATTTTGATGAAAGAAAAGACTTGGCAAATTTTATTTCTACTTGGAAACCATTATTGGACTTTTTCAGAGAAACTGAAAGAAATGAAAATCTGATTTTGGGATTTAGTGAATAATTTTCAGTTATTTGAATTATCCAAATAATATAAATATTAACCTTAGAGCAGGGGTCTGCAACCTTGACAACTAAGACTTGTGGACTTCAGCTCCCAGAATTCCTCAGTCAGCTGGCTGAGGAATTCTGAGAGCTAAAGTCCACAAGTCTTAAAGTTGTCAAGGTTGCAGACCGCTGCCTTAGAGTAAGAGTTTGATGTATTCTTATAGCTATAACTATAACTATAATTATATAAATATAAATATACCAAAGAAAGCCAGAAATCATTCTTTTTTATTTTTCATACTTTTTTTTCTTCTCTGCACTTATATTTTTATTCTTTTCTGAACTTTTTTCTTTTTCTAATTTTATATTTCTGAGATTTATATTTTAACTTTGGGAAAAAAAATTGAAAATCAATAAAGTTGTATAATTTTTTTTAAAAAAAGAAATATAATAGAAGTATGTTGGTCTGCTGTGAGGAATGATTGATTTTGAAATGGTTTCTGCCCATTTCATTATATGAAAATGAGAATTGGGTATTTCAGGAAAAATATAGGAGTAAATCAAATGAAAAGTGAGAGCAGCTGAGTACTTAAGAAGTAAGTACAGTTTAACAAGAAGAAATTGGTTCAAAAATGGATGGCTGCTGAAAGAATGTGAATTAAATGCAAAACTGGGAGGTCTCCGTGAAACATTAAAGTCATATGGAGAAAATAAATGAGCAGGAGCTTCAAAACAATTATAAAAAGGAAAAATGAAAGAGACAAACCAGGAAGTCATGTTTAGAACAGATTAATAGGATTCAGGTAGTCCTTGACTTATAACCATTCATTTAGTGACTGTTAAACAGCACTAAAAAAAGTTACTTACATTCTCACAAGCAGTGGAAAGAATATAAAATCAGTATAAGTGGTGCTGGCACCAAGTTACACACTAGAGTTACAAAGGAAGTAGCAGCTCCCCAGTTTGAAAATAAGAGAAGGTATGCAGCTGCAGAAGAACAAATGGGTACAAAAAGATTAAAATATGCAAGCTCCGTATCTATCCAGAATTGGGAGCAGAGAGGACAGACAAGTGTTATTTCCCTGCTGATACCACTAGCCACAAACTTAGATCTGAGGGGAGAAGCAATCTTGAAACTGAACTCGAAGCCATATTTTGCTTAAAAACCTTTTTGTAGTCAAGGCTCCTGGGTATCTGAGAGAGGTTTTTCTTTTCTTTTAGCTCTATTTGTCATTGGTTTAGTAAGAACACAAGGACAGGCATCCACTCTAACAATCAAGTTAATAACATTTTGCCTGTGACAGCTCCATCATGTGCTGAATCTATTTCATTCACATTTCACTGGTGATTAAACTTTTCATTCTGTTGAATTTCTCTTGTAATCTGCCAAAGCTTTTCTCAATGTTAGTACGTGAGCCTTGCACAGGTGCTGTAATTAAGGGCGTTTTGGCTAAATTGGTACAGTTGCATTACTTGGGAAGTCAGAGTAAGAAAAGCAATTTATTCTTCTGACGGTTCACGCATATAATGAACACATTGCCTTTCTGCATAACATTATGCAAACATGGTTTATTGTTAGTGGTAATTTTCTGTGTTCTGATATATTAACATACAGTGCAATTAATTTTCCTGTTTCAAAGTATGCCTGTGAATGTGTGAATATAGAGGCTTTTGCCATTGGGGCTCAAACAACACATCCAGAGTAAATCAATGCTGGATAATATTTGGTAGTTATTCATTAGCAATCAACAAAAAGTGTGATGTAGATTTAGGTCCGCTGCAGACAAATAGGCTTATCATACTTCTTGATGAAGAATTCCTATTTGCTTTACTGGGAATGTTGGTATAGCATAAAACTCCTAATTATAATCCATAATTATCATCATCATCATCATCATTGGAAGGGAACTTGGAGGTCTTCTAGTCCAACCCCCTACTCAATCCCTTATACTATTTCAGACAAATGGATGTCCATGTTCTTCTTAAAAGCCTCCACTGATGGAACATCCACAACTTCTGAAGGCAAGTCATTTCACTGGTTGACCTAGAAGAGTGTGGTGCAGCCTCTTATAACTTACAAAAAGTTTCCCAAATTAACATTTTCATGGGCAGGCATTTTTCCCTCTAAAAGCTAGTAACATTTAGTTGTAACATATGCATCTCATCTCAGAAACAAATCTCATTGCAGGTAATGTAGTATGTTAGTAATTATATGCTTTTTGTTTATTCTTGTTTCCAACCTTGCATCGTCAGCAGAAGTAGTATATATGCACCAAAAGGCAATGTTGCTGTATTTTTCATTATGACATGCCTCCATCCAGCCCATTAGAATATTCATCAGGCAGAATTATATGACAGAAATTTGCTTATTGAATCAAGTATTGCTTTTTTCTCTTGGTCAAAATGTAATAAAAGAGTTGTAGAAAAAAATGATCAGGAAACAAGTTTGGGAGAAAATCAGTGCAAAGTCCATCTTTATGGATGATTAAGGAGGATCACCCTCTTGTAACATATTTGCTAGGGAAGATACATCAATGTATATTAGAGCTAAAATATAATCCATCCACCACATTGAGAAGTATCAGGAGCACAATTTGAAAAAAAACATGGGCTTGGTCTCCTCATATTCTCTCAGTCTGGCCCCTTGGAAATGTGTTGGGACTACAAATAATACAATTCTTGGCAAGAACTATTGCAATGCCAATGTATTTAGAGGGCTTAGCATTGGGCAAGCTTTCAGAAACCATTTAATGAGTAACTGTTTAGTAATCATCTACTTTGAATGGATTAGAGCTCTTGCTTTATTTATCCGATTAAAATATTGTTTTTCTTCCAGGAGTTTAAAGCAATCTGCCATCAATATGTCTCACAAGAAGAACACTGGGAAATAGGTTGGAACTGAGAAAATGAGGTAGATTGGCCTAAAGTCCCTCAATGAACTTTGCTGGATTACCTTCCAGGGACTTGAAACTGGGTCTCCTCTGCCATGATTCAGCAACTTAACTGTTATTCTTTTAATATTTTTTTCCTTCTTTTAAAAATCCAACCCCTTGTGCAGTATAGCAGGGGTGTCAAACTCGCAACATCATGTGATGTGTAGCAATTTATTGTGACTTTTTTTCCACTGCCAGCAAGGGGTGGGCACAGTTTTGGCATGACGCATCCGCCCCGCAGGCTGGCAGTATT